CTTGACACGAAATACCGTCTGCTGCACTCCAACTGCCCTACTAAAAAACCCAGTTAATTCTCTTTTCTTTTAATCCTCAGGGAAATACAGCGACCAGTCTTTCTACTATTTTCTGCTGCCAATAACGACTTCGACAACAAACAAATTTGAAAGATTCAAAGACCACTATCACAAAGAAATTCAAAAATTTTCACCTCTGATAAGACCGTCAACTCCTAGTATTTGATGTTTACCTTCTAAAGCACTTTAGAATAACTGTTCAATGGCAAAAGCAAAAGCGCTTCTATCCCTGCATCAAAATCTTTTTAAAGCACAAAATATACATATAGCAATTTAACAGTTTTGAAGATACTGATACAAAACAGATGACTGCCACTACTACCCATGATAACTTTGTAAATAATCATAAAATGAAGAAGAGCCGTGTGCATATGCACTCCAATTCATAAGTCAAACTTATACAGATCTATTAAAGACTAAACCCATCAACTGCGCCCACTGTACCGAGGCACTACGTAATGCAGAACTAGCCTCATTTATCTCCCCGGCGGTATTTTGCCACTTAGATGAACAGCGTTGTTGCTCCAAGCAAAAAAGAGAAAGAAAAAATTGGCGAACTTTCATCTTTTAAACAGCAACGCTATATTAACCTAATCTTTACTACAGCACAATATCAAAATTTTTTTCAACTAACTATTCAAAATCTTCAAGCGTTTTAATCGGAAACAAGGTAGTGTATTGTGTTGGCTTCGCCATTTTGATTTTACTAGAAACTTTTACGGTTATGAACCGTAAATGAGCAAATATCAATAAATTTAGATACGCTCTAACTTTTTTCCTGTTTCCAAGAGATGTTTGGTTCCTTTTATCGTTCCGGTCAGCCTACTGAGCAAAAGCAGAAAAAGGTTTCCGCCAGAATGACCACATATAAATAAAGTTGTTTATCTGTCTGATGTCAGTATTGAAAAAACATTTATCTTGACCATATTTTTCATTATCTTGTATGATTTCATATAAAAATTTCATAGGCAACAGAATATTGGGGATACTGTAGCTGGTTATGTCCAATAACTCTTACAATGTTAAAACCTCTGAACAAAGCAGTGAATGTTCATTAATGGGATGTTAATGAAGAAACTCCTGAGAAATTCTGTGTATTGGAAGTGTATAGTTTATATGGCAGATGGCTATTCTACGTCAAATGACACTCTCTTCTAAGTCCACCACTTAAATCTTTTTCAAGTTTCTCCAGCTTGCAGGACTTGGTATCCAATTACGAAACCAGGCGAGAATACCATAAAAAGTGCAAAGTTAAACCATCCTGGAATGCTAAAGAAAACTTAGTCTTTGCTAAGACGGTCCTTTTTAAGTACCTGTAATTTTGAATTCTTTATTTCTTTTGAAAAAAAAATCCCGCTTAGGCTCAAAAAGCAGTGAAAACACATACGTCAACAAATTACATATACAAGACTTTAAAAAAGGAAAAAGTAAAAAAGGAAAAACGGTTCAAAATAGTGTATTTTAAATACCACGTTGTAAATTTTATTGAAAAAAAATGCATTTTTTGAAGGCATAGTTACTGTATAACATATTAGGAATGCAGTGCAGTACCTTTACAATATTAGTGACCAATTAGCAAGACCGAACTGCAAAAATCTTCAGTTGACGTAGCTTTTTAGCGTCTTTTTAAGTGAGAGCATTTTAGTTTTAACTGAATTATATTTTTGTGTTGAAAGATATATCATTTCACCTTATCCAGTAACCGACATTTGATTGAAAATTTTCTGTTGTTAGTTATTTAAAATATTTTCAGAGAAGAGTAATTATGACAATTACTTTTCAAATTTTCATATCTTTAATTTTTCTTCAGTTGAATCCTTCAGTTGAAACAAATATGAATCTTACTGCTGGATGTTTACAGCCAACATAGTTTTGTTATTTGCCTTCTAGCAATCCATTGGTTTGTGAATTCGTTAAAAACTACGCAATGAACCTACAGAAGGCCACACGAACCACAATTTCTTCACTTGCAATATATCCAAAAAAGAAATCTACAAATACTACTACATTCTTCGGCCTTGTTGACTGCTCCACACATGACATTCCAGTCGTATGATTATTCCAAAGCCAACTGATAAACTTTTTGAAAGAGAAGTTCAGTTCAAAGAACTCTGTATATGTGGCAAAAGAACACTAACTCAACCAAGTACATACTTTCAGAACTAAAAAACAGCGATACAAATATGCTTCTGACAGCTTAGAAATCTGGCTCGTTGTTAAAGAAGTCGTCTGAACCAGCATTTTTAGTGCAGAACTCAAAATTCTCTATAATTGTTCAGTAATAATTTGAGAATATTTTCATTGCATGAGATATAGCCTTCTGAAACAAATCGTCAACAGCTAAAATATACTGGATTTTAATAACAGGTTCGCTTTAGCATCTAGCAACAGATTCCAAAAACGATGATAATTTCGCCAACGTAAAATGTATTTTGAAAGCAGTCACCTTTCATCAAATGTCATCTCGGTTATACCCTCATAATGTTTCACTGCATTAGAAGAACACTATCAGTTTACGGCATTTTATAAGGCAAAAAATTCTACACTAGACGAGTTCTTTTAAAAATTTTAAACGACCGTACTTCTAATGTTTTCTCAAATTTTTGCTTCTTCTGCACTTGCATACTTGTTTTGTTAACTCAAAAACCCTAATATTCGTTTAACAATGAATCTAAAAGCCCCAAGTTTTATCATACTTTGAGTGATTTTTACGGTCTGCAAAGATGCGAATGTTGATCAAAAACCTGATTGACTTTTCCTTTTTGAGAAGGTTTTAGTTGATGAGGAAATTCACCGTTTTAGGTATTCTCATTGATTTTTTATATTCAAGCTCAAGCTTTACCAGTAGGATACAGAAAAATTCTAAGATTTTTAAAAAAATTTTCTTTTTAAATTTTATAATCATGTTTTTTTTTTGATTTTATTTGTCTTATACTGACGATAGTGAATTGAAAAATCAATTAAAAACTTACTTTTACTTTAGTCATAATTTTTACTAGGAGAAGAGCAAGTTTTACTAATCAATTAGTGAATAAGTTTTGAATTTCATAACCTTTCTCCTTCTGTTCAATGGTAAATCAAAATAAATTTTACTTTACTTTTTCCTTATTCTTTTTAGAGTTATTTTTAAAAGTTGCCTATTTCAAATGCTACTTCACTAACAAACTGCTAATCACTTTTACTGCAAATGTTTAGATTACTGAGATCTTGTAAGCATTTTTTTTGGTCTGTTATTACATCAAATCTTTTTTTTCTGTTCTTTCAAAGCAAATCTACAGTTTAAGAATAGGTATAAAAGAGTGTTTTGTTAATATATTTAGTTTATTTTAAAAGGTTTACAGTGATATCGCCAAAAAGCAGCAGCGCAATACCAGGTAATCCTCTTTCTTCTAAAATTTCGTTATTTTTCCAGCTTTAATGAATTAATTAAAATATGACCAAAGTCAGCTTTCAAGTATGAACGATGTTTAAGTGTTATTTCACAATTTTCAACTGCTAAATTTTTTTTTCAAAACATTACAAATTCTTTTGGAGTGTTTACTGGTTATTAAGAGGGAATGTGACAACACACATCGAAATTTACTTCTAAAATTTTCTAGTGGCGTGTATTAAAGAAAACATTTAACATTATCAAAAATTTCCTGTTTGTTTCAATTTTTTAATAAGAAAGAAGAGTGCTTCGAACACGTTGACACTAACACTGAAGACTAGTTTATATTCATAGTTTTTGCTATTGTTGTTGTAGTAGCAGCAGCGACAGCTGCCGCTATTCCGGTACCATTAAGTAAGATAGTTTGATTTCAAAAAAAAACTGGAAGAACAGCTTGGAAATGCAAAAAAAAAAAAAAAAAATCAAATAAAGCTGAAATAAAGTTTGTTCTCCAATTTCTTTCACCTCGTCTGGCTCCCTGTCCCGTCTCTTCGTTTACTTATCGTCTTTGTTTTAAGAAATTTAAGTAGCGCTATTGGGAAGCTTAAGTTTTTTTGCATCTAAAGTTTACCGCATAAGAGTACTTTTTTTGTAAAATTTTCTTTTTCTAAATTCTTCCTTTTTTCCTTTTTTCTCATGTCTATTTAAATGCTTT